GAAGGTTTGTATTTGGTGGCCAGAATCAGTTTTAGTTACCCATGAATCCCTTTGAGTTTGATTTGGGTTGGTTTGATCAAGGAGACACTTGTAGGATCACTTAGTTAAGTGTGCATGGTTTGTCCTTTTGTGTTTATTTTATTTTAATTTTATTTTAATTGATTCATGTTTATGTTGTAGTGCTATTATAGGTTATTTTTTTCATGTGTGTGTCACGTGTGTCGTGGTTAGCCCATGGGGAATGGGCCATGGGCGTTCAACCGTGGGAGATGGGCTACGTGCTCTCCCATGTTGGCTTGGGTTTAAAGTTAAGGTTGGGGTTTTGTAGTTAAATTAGCCTTAAGTGATTTGGGTTGGCCCAAAAGGATTAAGTTTTGTGGGCGTCCATAATTTAATCTTGATATTTAAGTGTCTTTGGCCTTAACTACTTTGAATTGATTTTGATTTTGTTTGAATTTAGTTGTTCACTAATTGACTTGGTGGATCTTGGTGATTCCATATTTTAGGGTTTAGGTTGATGTGTGTAGGATTTATGTTGATTCGAGAGTTGATTGGTGTTAGGAAAGCATTAGATGAGACCAAAGTTTGACTTTTTGCCTCACCCCTCCCCCTTGGGATTGAATTTTAATGTTATGGGGTTTTCAAGCTTTTAGGGTAATGTGGTAGAACCCCTCATTGGCTTAGGCTTAACCTCCTATTTGATGGGCTTTTCCTAGGTCATTGAGAATCTCAAGGTTGTTCAATGGGTTATTAGGGGAATTCTTAGGGCTTTGATCTCCATGATAAACCTAGGGCATCCCCAACTACAGGGAGTCCACTTGGGCTTTCACTGAGCTAGACCCTCAATCATCGCAATCAAGGGTTGAGGATTTGGGCTTAACCCTAAGTGAGTGTAGGATTTGTTAGAAGTCCTATATGGGTGAGTTCTAGCTCTAGTCATCTAAGAAGGTCACCGGGAAACCCTAAAGCTAAATCCAACATTTCTATATAGAGGGAAGAACTCCTCACAAATGGGAGGTCAACAATCATCTAAATTTCACAATCAATGATGATTACTGTCCGATCGACAAATTATATAATAACCGACCCAGAATGCCTGAGCATCAATAAAATTCTCTGTCCTTTAGCTCAAAACGGGTCAAGCTATAGTGTATAAAATTCATTCAGATCAGACCATTGTGGACGATGAGCTTTGGCTTTACAAATTGATTGATTATCAGAGAGGCCTTGACTTAGAGCTGTGTGGCGAGAGTCACAAACTGTGGAGGGCGGGAAGGAAGTGCATCAAATAACTCTTTTTCTTTCCTCATTTCTTTTTAAAGCTTGATTTTCTGGTAAGGCAACCAATAAAGTCTTTAATAGGCTGAGTATCTCAGCTTCGGCTACCTTTCCCATTGGTCACTGCAACCACTCAATCCTCAGCATCATTTGCCCATTCCTCAGCTACTTTCATCCTTTTATTAGCTTTATACAATCCACGGTCTGACCCTGACCCCAGAGAAGTGTTTCTTGAAACCTTTCAGTTTCTTCCCAGAATGTGAAGGAGAAGTATAAGAACCAGTAACAAGAGTTGTTCCCTTCTGATGCGCATTTCTTTGTCTCGGATTGTTGATTCAAGCTCTAGCTCTAGGTATAGCTCATGCTCAGATGTAGATGAAGTGACCAGAGAAGGCTAACTTGCATCATTCCCTCATCGACATCACAATAAAACTTGGAATAGCCGACTGAGGGTTCACTGGCCAAACCTGATCTGACAACATCTTCTTCTTGATCAAGTCTTCTGTCGTGACGTTCTAAATGCCTCAGCCTGAGTAAGAAGAGCAGAGAAAGAAGCACGGCTTCCAATCCTTTTTCTTGTTCTCCAAGCCTAGCAATTGAAACTTCTCAATTGATAAGAACTACACATAGCTTTTTGAGCCAACCTGGAAGGAGAACTGGTAGGTGAAGAGATTCGTTGGCCATGAAACCCCAGCTCAATGATAGAAAATAAAATATGTCGTGATGGTGGCGAGGGACATTGGCGTAATGTAAGTAAGGATAACCCATTCATGGTTGAATGATAACTTCAAACTACAATTGAACTGATCTCGATAAAAGTGAGATCATTCTCAAATAAGCTCGTCGCTTGGTCATTTCCTCCAATGGCTCAGAGCTTGATAGTGGGATCCAAGACACAAGTTTCTTCTAACTCGGCCACCTTCCCGGTGTCATAGTTGACCTTTCGAGCACAATGAATAACCCAAAAGTCCTCGGTGAGTATATCAAATTCATCAAAATGAAGCATAGAAATCAAGATAATAGAAAACTGAGAGAGTAAGAAGAAGCAAATAGAAATAGACAGTAAGACTGTAGTGTAATTCAACCCCACGATCCTCACTTGCAACCAACACCCCTGTCCATGTTTCTTTCATATTTTGTATTTATTTCTAAAATTCACCTTAGATTTCAAATATCTTTGTGTATTAATTAGTTTCATGTGTTAATTTTAAAATTTTGTTGTGACTTTTTCAAAATTCTTTATGCGTTTTTAATTGTTGACCTCAATTTTGTATGAGGTCCCTGACCAACATTTGTAGGAGGCAATTCATCAACCTATATCGGCTCATTTGCATAGAGAAAAATATAAGAAAAGAGAAAAAATCTAAACTTAACAAACAAGACCAAATCTTCTCAAAGCAAAGAGTCGATCCAACTCGGTCCATTTAATCGAAAAACCACTGTCACTAGATGGCAGTGGAGTGCTAACAGCTTCTTATGCCTCGGGCAGTGAGAGAGTGCCCACAGCTTCTTACACATTATGTTTAGTCAGCATGTCTAGAGTAATGGCAGAAGGTCGAATCGATGGATCAACTCTCAAGCCTTCAGATTTACCTCCTTCATCCATTCGATTTTTTCTTCGCCGAGAACCATGAAATGAGTCATACGACACACTTCTTGATAGCTACTTTCTTCTTTTTCTTCTTACCTTCTAGATGGTAATGCATAGCCGACTTCCTAAAAGCGACAAGCATCATTTTCTTTTTCAAAAGCTCATTGGGAGAGTTTGAGACCTTCTCCATAAAAGCGTATTGGAAATCCATCAAAATAGACAAAGAGGTACAAAGCAAATACAAAATATCAAAAGAGTCCTATCATGCTCTATTTATAAGAATCATGAGCATGAAAATCTAAGGAGTATAAGTATTTAATCTCTGATTATGAATTAAATGATATCTACTTTTACATTTAATTCTTTTATTTTTATAGCAGTGTCGCTTTCAAGAAGAGAATCAAGGAACTAAAATATGTACATCAAGAATGTGTCAGCATGGATCCTTTGGAGATCCAATGGTCCAGAATGAATGAAGTATAACAAAGGAGGGCCCACAGACAGGAGACCCAACGACCCACTTATTCAATTGGATGCAACCAACTGAGCCAAGGAAGAGGCTAACTGAGTCAGCAGAAGAACAAAAAGATCAATCCTAGTTAGAATAAATATAATTAGAGTGTGACAGTCGTGCACTCGAGCAAACCACTCCAGAATGTCGAGCAAGGGCATCGGCCTACCTCTTTGAAAAGCCGACAAAGGGAAGAATCAAATTTCTTGGCATCACCAGCCGTGGCATGGACACCCCCGAGGTTCCTCATCGATGACCAAAAATTAACAAAACAATAGATCCTCACAATGATTTAGAAGGACTCTCTCATCAAGGAAAGAGCTACTTAACATGTTACGGTAATTCACCCTCTACTCGGTAGCCTAGTCTCATTTTGCCGAGAGGAACTCCACATCCATGGATTGAATGTCGATAGCCAGACTAGATCAACCAATTAGTAATGTCTAGCCCATTGAGTTAGTCTTGCTGACCCAAAGCTAATCAATACAAGTCGACCTACTGCACTAACTCAACCTAACTTATCGAATCGGCCTTATCGAGCCAAAGTCATGCTAGCCCAGCCGACTGAGCCATAGGGTAGCCGAGCAATAGCCTCATACATTTAAAATATCTAAAATACTCTTACAGCCCCATTAAAGCAGAAGCCGAAAAATAATATCATATATTATACCCTCTTTCCTATAAATAAGATTGTGATTCACTGACAAATCAGAATGTCAATTTAGATTTTTTCCTAAATGCTACATAAGAGAAAAAAATAGTGAATTTTTTAATTTGTCATTAAATAATTGAAGTATTATATTATGGAAATTTTTAGGATCATTGTTGAATCTTAATTATATTCAATCAAATAACACATTTCACAATTTCTAAAACAGTATTTTATAAGCTCAAGTTAGGAATATTATCAATATGCCCATCATTTGATTCAACACTTTCACAATATCAACTCAAATCCATTTGATCCAATCCCGATCTAAGTCAATTTGACTATAGTTTGCTCGATCTAATCTCAAAAGATTTGATCTAGGCTTACTCCTCGTCTTTAACCTCAATTTGATCAAACATAAAAATAAATTTGTTCCTACTTAATTATGAATATTTTATGTCAAACAATTAATCAAATATATAACTTTACTCTTACATGACAACAGATTTCATATAGAAATTCACAAATGACATTTAAATTCTTTCAAACCAAAGTACATAAATAAATATCAATGTTTAATCATTTACGAATACATACACTTTTTTTAGACCCAAACTAACAGCCGACCTCAAGCAACCAAATGGGTCCCTCAGCATAAATTTTAAGTGAAATTGCAGATCTCTATATCTCAAAAAACATTGGGATGAAGAATCAAGTCACACCTCATAACAAAGCAGAATATGCTCATCTTTCCAGCTGAAGTTTAATAAACAAAAATAATAGATAACTTTGATTTTACATCAATGAAACAAATGAGAAATGAAGTAGCAGGAATCTCAGTAACTTAGACCCTCAAGCAAAGAATTTAAAAAGGCTTCAGGGATCCTGAAAAGCAGCGCAAGACTAATAATTAAAAGGAAAAAAAAAAAAGCTGAATCTTTAATCTCTCTAACTTAAGCTTTGATGCATCTTCTTCTCATTCTAGACTTCTAAAATCGCTCAAGAGGAAGAAGAAGATGAGCTACCTTAAACAGAAGATTGTATTCTTTATTCTCTTTATCATGCTAGCATTATCAAGATCAGGTAAAATCAACTTCCTCTCACTGTTGCTACATAACATTAAGAGACATAAAAAAAATGAATCATATTGTTTTAAGATATTCATATTATGATATCAAGCCTGGAAATAGAGCTTTCTTAATTGAATTCAATTGGCCAATCCGATCTGTTTCTTGTTTAATCAAAACAGCTTTCTTATAAATACAAAGGTAAGAAAATATATCAATAAACAGAAACCATCTCAAGTGCTTCATCATTTAAGTGAGTTCATCAAAGTGAGTTTCAGAAATTCGCTACTCATGAATTTAATTTTTTTAAATTTTGGAAGGTTTACTTATATATTACTCAATTCCTTTGTATTTACATATCTAACAACTCATCTTCAATTTTTACATACATACCACCTTTCACATGCATGAAAATGTATGTGTAAATACCTAAATGATAAGAAGGTTATGTAATATGAAACATTTAGGTGCTATAAAGGTAGAAAGCAAAGTTCAGACGTAAATGCAAATATATAGGAATGAAGATTCTAAATTCTAACGCATCATCTCATAAAACCAAAAATTGTGTGACAGATGGAGCATTTCCTGAGCCCCAATGGTGCATAGCAGATGAGCAAACGCCAGATAATGTTCTGCAAGAAGCGCTGGACTGGGCTTGTGGGCCGGGAGGTGCAGACTGCAGTTTGATCCAGCCCAACAAACCTTGCTTTCTTCCCAATAACATGAAGAATCACGCTTCTTATGCCTTCAACAGCTACTGGCAGAAATTCAAAAATAAGGGAGGTTCTTGCTACTTCAATGGTGCTGCCATGGTCACAGACCTAGATCCAAGTAAGACCAACACTGCTTTAATTTGGCGATTATTACATATATGACATTAGAAACTTTGCTATTTACAAAACTAGCACCAATTTTTTTTTTTTTTTAAAATGAAATACCGAATTGATGCAGTTATGTGTGTCATGACCAGACCATTGAGAATTCGATAAAAATGAAAAATATAGTTGAGGCTTTACTGTGAATTTTGATATCGAGTAAGAAATTGTAAAATCGATGATAGAGGGTGCTAGATTTGTAAATATCAATGTTTCGAGTGTTATGTATGTAAATGTTTTGAGTGCCGTAAGAAAATGCTATTTGCTAGTTTTCTTAAAGGAAACTAACGATTGGTCAATGATGTATAGGAAGAGAAGAATGAAGAATTACATTAGTGTCTGTCAAAGTATTCAGAGTATGATATTGCTTCGCATGGTCTCGGTCTCAGAAGAATAGTAGGGAGTAGGTAGACACTAAAATGAAATAGGTATATTTTGAAAACATCTATTAGATTATGAATAGCTTGAAAAGATGCAAAGAAAGGTAATACTAGAAAACAAACTTTCAAGAATACAAAGAGCTCAAAGCCACACTAACTTGATAGCTCACCTCGTTCCTAATGCTCAAATTCTTACACAAACTAGCGAGAAAGCATTTCTTTCTATGAGCCCTCTACAACAGCTTAAAAAAGAGATTTTAATGAGATGGAAAAAAGAATAATAAAAAATATTATTTTTGAGTCTCTAGCTTGAGTGATTGTCATAATTGTTATGATTGTCATTTCATACTAAACAAAATCCACTTGAAATGACCGAATAGTTCTAAGAAATTATAGCTCAACCTTTTTTAGTTGATTAACGTAATGCATTAAATCGAGATGTTTCAATCAATTAGAAATGAAGCATGTTTCTTACAAGCTAATTTCATGATTTGGTTGAGAGCTAAGCTCTAATATATTGCAATTTGTATTTTGCACAACTTAATAACAGGATTATGCTAATTTTATTCGGATTTGCAGGTCATGGAGCATGCCATATAGCCGCACTTCCTTGATCAAAGTTAGACTAGCATAAATAAGATTAAAAGGAATGTCGAGGTTTGAAGGTTTTTTGAATAGGATTTTGATGAAACTGGAGCTTCTGTTCGTCCTAGTTTCTGTCATTATGCTTTAAGCAAACAATATGTAATGAGTTTGAGAATTCTCTCTCTCATTTTTTTTTTTTTTTTACTTTAAGCAAACAATATGTAATGAGTTTGAGAACTCTCCCTCTCTCTCTCTCTTTTTTTTTTTTTTTGAAATTTAACGTTTGGTTTGATATTTATGTGCTTTCTTCATATGTTAATAATCTGGTTAGTAAATCTCAGTGCCCATTCGCTGATGTAAGAGAGAAAACAATCAAAATGAGTTCAGTTCTATTGGAATCCTTTGTGTATGATTGAAACTTAAGCTTGAAATGAATCTCAAGTAGTTCCTGAAAACAACAGACAAAAATCTCACATATTGAACTCTTACCAATCAAAATATTGTATGTTTTAACCCAATAATCGTTACCACTTTATGATCGAGGCACAATTTATACCGAAGATTATCTCTCATATGAGTACTCTAATATGAACACGCTTAATTTTGAAGATCATGAAGAAACTCCAACTCTTACACCAGAAGTCCCCTTAATAGTAGAAAAATGAATTGTTGGTTTGTTTGTAGAGGCAACTAGTAATAAAGAACAAAGCTTAAACTCATTTAAAATAATTTTTTGAGACTTTTATCATGGTAGAGGCAAAATTGAACATGGAATTATAAAACAAAAAAAAAAGAGGAGTAAGAGGAGTTGGAAATCAACTCCTTTGTTGAAGTTGGGTGACCATACTATGTAAATAAATTAAAATTAAAAAAAAATAAATTCTTCATTGAAAATAACATCAACATTTCTTTCTCAATAATTTTTTTTTTAATTATTCAGCAGAAATAATTAATGAGAATGAGGCAAAATTGTTTTTTTATTTTCCAACCTATTAAAAAATTAATTTTTTTTGGTAAATGATTACCTATCATAAATTGTTCTTAGATCAGCGCTTGAAGAGAGTGGATGCTACATTTGGTTCAAATTTTTCTCTATTTTCTTGTATGTTTCTTTTTCATTTTATTTCTTTCGATTCGTTCATACTGAATAGAGTTTATAAAGAAAACGAGAAAATACATAATATACCTAGAAATAAACATTTAGTTTAAAATTATGCACAATGGCAATTTTAAAGCCAAGCTGCACTGATTGCTCTCTCTGGATTTTGATGAATCAACCTACAAATATTTGAAGAAAACAAATAAGAACCAGAAATAAAATTTAATTTAAAATTATGCACAAATGGCAATTTTAAAGCCAAGCTGCACTGATTGCTTTCTCTGGATTTTGATGAATCAACCTACAAATATTTGAAAGAAAGTAAAATGCAAACCGATCTAAGTTGGAATGAATGGCCATCTTTTCTATTAGGTTTATGTTTTTTTTTTTTTGATGATGAAGCCTTAAATCTCAAGCCATCTCCATGATTTATGTTTTATAGAAATCCAAATTATCTTTACTGTAAAAGTAGTGGTGCGGAGACTCTAATTGTTGTAATTAATGCAAATCATTTTGTGTTAAAAATAATAGGAAGCCCTGACTACTTGGGAAATATATATATATATATATATATATATATATATATTCTCTGATATAGAATTATCATCTCTCTGTGATATTGAGTTGCATGAAGATTTTCACCCAAATTTTAAAAAAAAACAACACATATTATTTAGATTTATTAAAAATTAAAAATTGAACAACATTAACAATGTAAAATTTGTGAATCAATTTTGTGGGTTATGCTGGCATTAAGAGACATAAATCGAAGGCCTATATCATAAGATTAAACTTATAATAGCTCTTAAATTGCAATTTGTGAGCTCTTATTTTTCCCCATCTTGAGTATTTTCCTCATAAATGGTCTACATAAATTTATAAATATGTCATATCTTTGAATGACGAATAAACCACTTTCTTTGTCTTTGTTTTTTGCAAGTCGGAACTCTCCACTTGTGACTATTTTCTTTGACATAATGAATTACCATCTTTCGCTCATGATTTTTTCATCTTGGATTTTCTACATAAAATCTATATTATTTTTTTTGTTTATTTCATTAGTCATCGCATCAATTTTATAACAAATGGAATTAAAGAGATATTTTTAATCTCGGTGATAGTAACAACAGAGTATGACATTCCACTTTTAGATTGCAACATCAAATTTTTACTTTGGTAAGTTAAGATACAAGCTCATTTGGCATTGTTGAGTTTAGCTGATGAGCTGTTGGGATTTAACAAAATGCCTTCATTATGGACTTTGAAAGAGAAGCAATGCAAGAATTAAAAAATTTTATCTTAAGTTCATCTTTATCTATCAAAATAAAATTTTACAGGATGTCTTGAAGGAGAATATAGTTATGCATTATAGTTGAAATTGAAAAAATAGTGCATGACATAAAGTCCCATCCTTATGTTGCATCTAATAAAATATTCTTACACCACAGAATTACTGAAGGTGCATCTACTGCAGATCAATTGATTACCTTTATAAAAGTTATCTCTAATTTAGAAGTCATTGAGGTTAAGTATGACAAAAAAATTTAGCAATTATTAGTGTGATGACTGATATCTTTATCATATGAAATATATAGAGATAGCATCTTATATAATTAGAAGACGCATATCTTGAAAGAACCTTTAGATGCTCTATTCTCTATAAAAAGATGAAACAATTTGTGGATGAACATGCTACTAAAAAAGAATGCATTATTGTTTGAGGGAGGACTCAAGTAAATACATCTACTGCTTATAAAAATGTTAGATCAAAATCTCGAATAAAGATAGGATTTATAATTTTTGTAAAAAGAAATGGTACATTAAAACTAAATGTTAGAAACTGGAGAACAAAAATAAAAAACAACTATTAATCATAACGGTAAACAACCTGATTATTTTGGTGAAGACATTGTTGTTGAAGAATGTGTTAATGATGGTGAACTCATAGTTATCTCTAATAGCAAACTTAATAATAATTAGTTTCTTAATTAGGCTTGCATATTTTGTATATGTCTCAATAGAGACTAATTTTTAATATATGAAATAATATCTAAGGGAATGGTTTTAATAAAAACTAATAATCCCTATAAAATAGTTGATATTAAAACTATCGGCATCAAGATGATTAGTAAAGTTATCAGAACAATTGGATATGTTAAACTTATACTTGATATGAAATAAAATTATTTTTTTTAAAATACTCTTAATGTTAAAATATATAAGCACTTTAGTGAAGGTAAAATTTTGAAGATTTAAGACTCGTTTGTTATGATGAAGAGATAGAAGAAGGTTCTTGAACTATAGATTTTGTAAAGCTCTACAATGGTAGATGATGCAATATTTATTATTTTTTCCATATGAATTGATAAAGAAATTAGATATTGGCGCATATTTCTTGGGCACATAAGTAAGGATAAAATGGTTGAACTGAGCAGAATAGAACTTCTTAATAGCCAAAGTATTACTAAATTGAAGTGTTTTGAGCACTACAGATTTAGAAAAAAGAAGAGATAAATATAGCATAAACATTTAAAGTATTGAATGGATGATGAACTACATACATCTTCACCTTTAGAGTACCCATAGTACTATCAGAGGGATTTGTCAAATTTCTGATGTCGAATTATTTATGAATTTTAAAAAAAATTGTATTTTCTTTCTAAAATAGAAGAATGGTATATTTATTATATTTAAAGGTTAGAATATTATAATTGAGAGAAAGAATAGGATGCCGATTAAACCTCTTTACACTGATAATGACTTTGAGTTTTATTAAGGTGAATTTCAAGCCATATGCAAATAAATAAGAAAATTTTAGAGACATCACAATCTGAGTTACTCCAAAGCAAAATGGTGTGTTGGGGTAGATAGAAAATAATATAATGAAAAAGGTGCATTGTATATTCATCAATTTTGGGTTTCATAAATCATTATACGCTAAAAGTATTTCTACAATATGTTACAATGTGAATTATTCTCCCTCAATTGTTATTGGTAAGAAGATTCCACAAGGTTTAGTTAAATAAACATGTTGGTGTGGATTTTTGTGTTGTCACACACCATAAAACTTTCATTAAGACTTTATTGACCTCATTTTTTGTGAGGTCTAGTTTTCTCTTAGAACTTAAGATCTAGCCATAGGGTTTTATCTATTGACTATCCTAGAAGACTAGTGATGAGCCCACCCTACTTAGAAATTTTTGCCACCTCTTGACTCTTTTGTGGAGTTTCACATGGGTGGTCTCAAACTCTCAACACTTGGTTGATTTGGTTTAGACCAACAAGGTAAAGCCCAAAAAATGAGTTCCTATAAGGTCACAAGGCCTTAGGGAAGCCCTTTATGACTTGGGCGTTCATCTCACACCACATACACATTCAACACATACCACTACAATTCACATACACTACATGCATAATCACATATACCACATCACATACCTTATACAAAATTCACACACAACCCCATACATTACTACAATTTACATCACCCCACTCCTCCCCCACACATCACTCACTTCACCTTACATACACATTCCTACCACACTACATGCACATTCCTATCACACTACATACACATTAACCTCACTCCACACACTTACACCTCTCTACACTTTACCATTCACAAAACTTCTTCCGGATCGCCCTAATTATCCCAAAATTCTCAAAACTACTCAAAATCCTCAAAATAACCAAAATACCCTAATCCCACCAAATTGACCAAAATCACCCAAATTTCATGAAATTCCAATTCCAAAAAATTCCCCAATTTTTAAAATTTCAAACCCAATTTTCATGAACCCTAAATCGAAATTCACCCCATGCCCTAAATTCACCAAATTTGAATCCCATATGTCAAGTTCAATTCACCAAATTTATCTCCTAAACATGATGGATTTAAGGCCTCATGAAATTCACCATGATTAATTTTCAATACCATTTACACTAGATCAAAATCCCAAATCAAAGCCCAAAATCAACCCTTCATAACCCATCCTAAAAGCACACTAAACCTTGTCTAAATTCTAAAATTCACTTCAAAGAAAAGTCCA